AAATGACATACTTTTATAATATATTTTAGTGTAATTAAGAGTATGAGATTTTGTAGTGTGAATATATATTAGTATATGGTCGTGCCATGCACGGAAAAATAATATCAAAATTGTATTACAAAATAAATATATAAATTACGCACGCAAATCATAATTTACCGTAAATTATTAAAAGTTATATTATACTATTATTTTGTTCGCATAAATAATAATGAAATGATGTATAAATATTCATAAAATAATGACGTCTTCTTATAAAATCATTATTGATTAGATTATTTGAACTAGATTATATTTATTGTAACAAAGTTTTTTTTTTAATGAAAAGACATATTTATGTACAATAATCAACTTGGTCTCACTAATTAATTAGCCTATAACATGTTCACCCGACATGCAACCCAAAGTTGTCATGTGTTTGGACTATTTTACAAATAAGTTAAAATTGATCTAATAAACATGGGTAATAACTCAATTCAATGGTTGATATAAATTAAGAAATTTTCTTTTTTCGAAATAAAAATAAGTTGTGATTAATGTAATAAATTTTTATAGAAAAAAAATATTATGATTCTGAATTATATAATTAAAGACTAACTAATTATATTTTAATTTACGTATATTTATGTAGCAATAAACATAAATATGCTAAAAAAATAAAATTAATTAATAAATTATACAATTGACACGATAACATGAATAACAATTAACAACATGGATCAGTATATCGAACAAAGATATTTTGTATGTTAATTAACGTTCTTGTAATATGTTATTAATAAGCTAGTAAATATGATAAATGGATTATGCTATTACTTAGAAAGTGCATTAGAAATAAATTACACTATTTTTTTATAAATTCAAACAAAATGCAATAAGATCATATATATGTATATATATAACCTAAGATAAATCTTTGTAATAGTTATTATATATTGTTAAATAATCTTTATAATGAAGTTGATTAATCAAGCAAAAATATATAATATGAAAATTTATTTTTTTATGCTTTTAAATAAGTTTGATAAATTTTTATGGAGATCCGATATATTTCTATAAGTACATAAATATTTTAATTAAGGAATTGTGAAAATAATAATCAAAGAATAGATAAAGGGTTAAAGATTTTTTTTAAAAAAAAAAAAATAGTCAAAAAGGGACAATCCAAAATTTACGATTAAACTTTTTCTTTTTTAACAGCTACAATTTTTTTGGAAAAAAATTCACATTTTATTTATAATAAATGTTGAACTTTTCTATATATTAATTTATTTTGTTTAAGCCATATCAATTTGTGCTCATTCTCTTCTGACATTCAGATCATAAGAACTCCAAAGTTGAACGTGCTTGGCTTGGGGTGATTGTGGGATGGGTAATCTCTTCTGACAAAGCGCACTGAAAAATACTCGTGCTAGTCGATAACAACTACTGTTATGCCTGGAGGGCGATCCCGGGGCATTACAGTTGCAAATTATAATGTACACTAAGTATAATGTGGGTGGAAAATGGTACACTTCAAGGCAAAACCACGCTGAATTGTAAAACATTGAGAAATCAAACTTCACGAAAAATATCGAACCATACAACAATATAGTAAAAAAAAAAAATGAATCGAAACGGTACCCAAAATGTTCTCCACTAAAATAACCGAATACATTGCACCAATTTTTTGGTTTCGCCTCAATATTTGCATACACTTTTAATTACATTTTTATTTGACTTTGTGTGGTTTGGTGTTAAACTACACCGAACCAAATAAATTAAAAATAAAACCTGTAGAAATTAAAAACCAAACCACAATGTAGTGTAGTGCAGAAAAAAAGAAAAACAAATCGAGCTAAAAAATTTTCACATTTAAAAATCCAAATCGAATGATTGAGTTGCACTGCTCGACTTCATCATGTCTTACACACTAGAGGTTGGCACAGTCCAAGATGGTTGGGGATTTGGCCTATTCCGGACCTATCCTATTTCTATGAACCAGTCCAGGACAAGACATTATCCCAAATAGATCGGTATCATTCGGGCCTGGGACAAAATAGTTCGGCACAAAGCCAATTTGGGATAAGAAAAATAACATTTCAAAATTCAGTAAAAAAATCATGAAGTAACATTTCAAAATTCAGTAAAAAAATCATAAAATATTTTTCAAACATTAAATTGGTTCATCTTATTAATGTATGATACCAATGTATATATAATTTTTTTTTTTTTCACCACTATTAGTCAGCCTAAGTAATACTAACATATCTATTGAGTATACACAGTGCTTAAAAATTAGTAGGGATATGATCTTGGATTTAGACAAACCCTTCTCAAAGCTTACTATTACATTATACTCATTAAAAGTGAGTATTCATAAAGTCACAAATTGTGATATTAAATTGTCTAAACGTCATATATTCCTTCATACTTCCTCCTATTTTTAATAAGTGTCGTTTTGAGAAGTTGCATAGTAATTAAAAAAAATTGCCAATAATAACGCTCATTAATGAGGATAGAGATGAATGTTTTGAGAAAAATAGATGAAGAGTAAATATGAAAAGACGTAGTGTATTTATTAGCTAGATGAGGATAATAATGGAAAAATATATACAAAAGATTCAAAACGTCGTTTATTTAGTTAATTGTTGATAAAGCGAAAATGACATTTAAAAAAAAAAAATAGGAGGTAGTACTTTTTAAATAAAAAAGCATTCTTATAGTATGAAATTTTATCATTTATATTTTTGTAAATTATGAGTATTATTTTTATGAAAGTAGATATATATCTATTGAAAAAACTACGATTTTCCGAGCATTATACTTGCATGGCAGACGTCTTAGAGTCGTGTAAGATACTGATTTTGATAATATTAACAAAGTATACATGCATAGGCAATTAATTGCAACAAAATTAAGGAAAACGAAAAAGTTAAAATGATATGCGCAAAATAATTTGTCATTATATGTTTGTCTGGGGATGATTCTTATAAAAACTATTAAAAGTTGAATAAAATCACTAGCTTCGTGTCCTCTTTTTGGAGCATCTACTTTGGAAGCGGTTTTCAAATTGAAATCTTGGGACACCATAAACTTCGAAATGTGTGTTTTGGCACATTGGACAGTGATTTTTTTTTTTTATAAGGAATAAATTTTCGAAATACATAAATCTTTTAGAACATTGGACCGTGTTAATGTATTTTATTTTGATTTATTATAATAATATTTTGAAAATAAAAAATATTAATTGTGGATCAAGTATTATAAATATAAATTTAAGTGAAGTTTAATTGTTATTACAATACATTACTAAGCGTTTTAGAAACACTCAAATTATACAGCTTGTCCAAACATTCGTCAAAGACCGAACATTTGCAAATCCACAATCTTTAGGTTACTTAAACACAATTTTGAATCACATAAACGTAAATTCCGGCGCATTTCAGCTTTTAAAATAAATTACTCATTCAACCTACAATAGTTTTAATATATTTTTTTTTTAAGTCTTCCACTTAAAAAATTAAAACCGTAAAATGACACTCTTCGTACAAATTCTTTTCATCCAAAATAATTAAATGAACTGAAATTATCAAACTTTGTGACAATTATAAACCAGTCATAGTCTGACAATTTCTCATTATATATGAAATATTTTAACAATAAGTTAGTATAACTTGTGAAGTAATTGAAAACTAATTAAATATTTGGATGGAATGATAGTCCATGTTTAGCGTACGTGCAAGTCGCAATTGGCCAGATGGCAGAGAAGAAAGCGGGCCCTAAATGCACGTGTAAAACATGGTCCCATTACAGCATTAGTCCATGTCTCAATGTGGAAAACTGCGTTTGCTTTGGCTTAGTTTAAGTTGAAGGTCGACATCACAATGATGCATGCATTATTTGGTTTGGCGGACTCATCTTCTTCACTTAACCACTCATTTTCCTAAAATCTTTGCAAACCTATAAAGATAAGGTCTGATTTAGTGAGAGAGAGAGAGAGATTAACTAAATTGCAAAGTTTTGTCTCGTGTCATGTTGCTTGCAAAGGTAGGGCCCTTTCATCCTATGACTCTTTTGTCTTTAGGGAAAGCACAATATTTTTTTGAGTGGACATTTTGGCAAAAAATAAGGGGAAAAAGAGAGAAAAAACAAGAAAACTTTATTTCTAATTTTATTTTCAAACCCATATACATGGTTGAGGCTTGAGGGATTGAAACTGAATGTGAATTTTTTGTTGCATTCTATGTTTTGTAGCCCACTTTCTCTACTCAAACTCACGAATCTCTTTTTTTATTTCATATATGCATTTAAGTATTGAAGTGCCCATGTTTTTATACTCCATTTGTCATGAAATGTGTAAAATATTAGTTTGGGTGTTTGACAAACTTACAAATCTTCATGATTTTTTTTTTCTATCAAAACAAAACAAAATAAAAGGAAAAATCTTTGTTCTCTCTTGTAATTAATTAGTTCCTGTGTTATTATTACTATATATTAGCTTTATTTAATATAGTAACTAGTATCTAGCAATATCTTGCTTATATTCTCTTACTACATCTAATCATGCATTGTCTTAATGAGCTTTCTTATTCTTGTAGATAAAGGATGCATAAAGTATTTAAAGAAAGGAGAGTTGATCGTTGC